CCGCCACAGCCGTGGCTCTGGCCCCACGTGAGCTGCCTGCCCCTGCCCCTCTCTCACCGCACGGGGCGTTGATTTGCCCCTTCCCTCCTCGCTCCCCTTCCACCACACTAGACTTACCAGGTAGAGGCAGCTGTATCGGAAATCGTATTAGTATCAGCCGATATGCTTCCTTAAATATTGGCCCCCAAAATCGGCCTCTAAAACCCCCAAAATTAGGCATCCCTAATATGCATGAACTACTAAATACAGGCTTTGTGGTACTTTTCGGATTTCCAGTCTTCTAAAATAGTAATCTTTTAGTAATGTAAATATATTAATGATATTTTATTTTTAATTTATTAAGTACACATAGAGTGCAGTATTAAGTTGACTTCTTGCAAGGAAGTCAAAAGCATTTTTAGTTGGAAACTGCCTTTGAGACCTTCTCCTGACCTCTACTTGCCACATTTGTTGGACTTCAGCCTTGTCCTGTTCTAATAGAGTTTGTACAGTCTGCTATTGACTATGTTATTTTACTCCTGTGCACGGCAGCCCCCCCGTATTCCTCATTTTATCAGATTCTGCTCAAGAAAAAACACTTCCTTTGCTCCTGCTTTTGGATAGGCTAATTACTTCAAATAGTCCATCCTTTTTTGCATCTGATTTCTGTTTAGCTAGGTAAAATTAAACTTTCAGACACACATGTACAGTTATACATTTAGGCCTAGATTATGTAAGCTGCCCTTTGTGACAAAAGCTTTTGCCAGTCCTGAGATCTGTTGGACTCTGCACAGATACAGGAGACACACAGTTACTAAATTTCAATATAAATTGTTTTAATGGGTGTCTGTTTATTTAGTTTTTATTTGCTTATGCAGACATTGGATCTCATGCATGTAGTTGCAGTATGTCAAGTTTCATGTGCATATTTCAAAGGTTGGATCTGCACTAGAAAGTAAATTCTTTACCCCTGGCTAAAAGTTACTTTAGAGTACCTCCAAAATAGGTTTTGTAGTAATCTGTTCTCCATTCAGAGCTCTATACTCTTAAAATATTTGACGATTTTATGAACTATTAATGTGTCAGTAATATTTTCTATGAAGCTCTAGAGAGAAATTTCTACCTTTGTAAAAATAACTACAATGACTTCCGGGAAGGGTAAGTTTCTCTGAGAAACAAGGTTTTTCTCTGAGTAGGTATTTGTCTGAGCTTGTACTGTAATTGATGTGGCTCAGTTGAATGTTGGTTATATACTATGGAGCTGAGATGAAACATGTTGAAGATACTGGGCTGAATAAATTAAAACTGTAGAACTGATGTACACTGTGGAAAAATGTCTTGAAAGTGATTAATTAATTTGTAGGACACAGTTGGTCAGTTCTCCTGTCATTAGATTTAGTTCCTAATGGAGTAATAGAAAAGCTTCAGCATAAACAACAATGGGTAGATTTTCAAGATGTTTTATTGAACTTTATAAGATAAGAAGGGTCAAATTCTTGATGAGAAAAGATGGTGTATATCAGCAGTGCCCAACTCATCCAGCTCCACAGATAAATGGTGCAGGGCTGAATGAGTAGTGTGGAGCAATGTCATCTGGCCTGCAGGGCTCTATGTGGATTTGGAAATTTGTATCTACAGCAGTTAATGCTGCCACTACTCCCTCACTGCCAAATTTGCAGACCCACAAGGAGCCCCAAGAACAGTACTAATCACCTTTGATGTATATTTTGCTCAGAATGGTAATATTAACTATGGAAAAAAATAGGTTTCTGTGTATTAGGTTGCTGGATTTTTATGCTTGTCTTTGTCATGCCATTCTTGTCATGGGTCAATTTGGAAAATTCTCAGCTCTCACAACATCAAAGATAAACCAAGGCAAGAAGAATTAGTAAGTTCATTGCTGTGGCTTTGATGGAATCAGGATTGATGCTAGGAAGGATGGCCTAACTTGCTGGCCTCAATTTTAAGAACTGTCAAAAAAAATCCCCAACAACATATCAGTAGAAAATTATACAAGTCACTCCTTCCATAGTTCCATTTAAAATGCTGGGCATTTTCTAGGTAGGCCATGTATGAATTCAGTAATTGGAAAAATTTTAATATAATTGAAAAAAAAAAAGTATTCTAATGTAGGTCTTTAGGGGAAGACAACTAATTCAAATGTAATCAAGCTGTAGCATCTAGTTTTCAAGACTAATTATTTCTGTATATTTAAATATTGATTTTTTTTTTCATCTAATGTCTAGATTAATTCTGATTCATCTATTTTTATACCAAGGGATATTTGTTAACAATGTTCCTGGTTTGTATCGACAGTTTAATCTTTATCGCTTGCCATGCAGTACTTAATAGCTTCATATTTGTAATATGTGCCCACTGTTGCTTAAACATCACTTTATGAATTCTAGTTAGTAATACCCTTAGTTCATTACTTTCTCTGGCATTTGGACCTTTGAAATCTTGGGCAATTAAATTTAAATTGAACATGTGCTGTCATGGAGGCAGCACATACTTTTTCATTATGCTTGTTGTACCTCACTTTTCAGTTTACCTTGTATGATGGTAAAAAAATCTAACATTCTCTATGGTAATGGTTCTGACAGCTTTGGACTAAATGGACCACTATTAGGCAAAGAAGTCATTTTCTTTTACCTTACTGAAAGGTAAGGAAAGAATAAGTGTTATACTATGGCTGGGATAGTTGTGGGTGTTATCTTTTATTGGACCAGCTGCATGGTTCAGATAAAGTTAGACAAGATTTTGAAGGGAAGGCAGACCTGATGTAGAATCCCTTGTATTCTAAAGCCTAACATTATTGGATCAACTGGATGTTTGGGATAAAAGATATAACCCACAAAAATCCTTGCCTCTTGCATAATTCCTGGGCCACAGTATCACTCCAACACTACTGTGCATTATGGTAGGCATTTTTGAGAATATAATCCTAATTGCTTTAGAAGTCTTCCCCTTTGTGTTCTTAGATGTATAATGACTGTAAACTGAGAGAGGATTTTTTTTTTTTTTTTTGGTCCTCTCAGCGTCTCTTATTTGTAATTATATAGATGATTTAATTATAGTAGGTACAGCGTTTGAGAGAGATGTGATTTTTATATTTGTTATCCTTTTGGCTTGTTGATTTGACAGGTATAATGATGAGTAGTGTTTTTATTTATGAGTAATTTGTTTAATCTTTTGTTTTAATTAAAGAAATGGTTGCAAGCAACTGATCTTCCCAAAGAAGTATACCAGCACCTAACTTACTATGTACCCAGAATTTACTGTAAGGGTCCAAACCCTGCTCCACAAAGAGAAGATATGCTGGCACAGCATGTTTTGCTGGGACCAATGGAATGGTATCTGTGTGGTGAAGACCCTGCATTTGGATTTCCAAAACTTGAACAAGCAAACAAACCTTCACACCTCTGTGGTCGTGTTTTTAAAGTGGGAGAACCTACATATTCCTGCAGGTAGTTTAATTCAATAATTCTCTTGCATTATGAAGTCACTTAACCTGTTTGGATGGAAATATTTTGTATTAATGAAAATGCTAATTGCTTGTATAGGTATGTGAACGACTTGTAAAAAAAATAACCTGTTTTATAATGTATAAATAAAAGTCAAAATATTTTAATTAAATGTTTTTTAATATTCCGTTTTCTTCTCTGTGTTTCCAGAGACTGTGCAGTTGACCCAACTTGTGTATTATGCATGGAGTGCTTTCTGGGAAGTATTCATAAAGAACATCGATACAGGGTTAGTAAATCTATTGGAGAATATGGCTTGGGTGTAATATTTCCTTTATGAGTGGGTATATTCAAAGTTCTATTCATTATTTAAGATTATTTAACTATTTCAAAATAGTATGCTTACATATATACTAAATGTATGGCGTTAAAAACATGTATTGAAATCTTATCAGAAACAGAGTGTTTCAGCTTATGAGTTTAATGCTTGTCTTTTAATGACACTTAAACCCTCAATATTTCAGAACAACAAGGAAATAACATTTAAGTGCAGGGAAAACTTAGTGTATTTATATACCTTGTGTAACTGTGAGTATATTTAATGTAGAGTGGAATGGACTTAATTACATAGGGATACTTTTTTATTTAGTCTGTGCTAAATATTTGGCTTTTTTAAGATTTTGAACAACCTTTTAAGAGAAAGTGGAGAAATCCCCAAACTTTCTTTAAATTACACATCTGCATTTTTGTTAATTTCTACCTAGCAGCATTTATTAACTACAGAGAACTAGAAATGAAGCTTGGTAAAAAGGGAAGTGAAACAGATTGATTTTTCTTGTCAAGTTTAGTGGACTATCAAAAGTAAACATACAACTAAAATTGTAAAACAGAAATTGATTCTTTAATTCACAGTGCAGTAGTATAAGTGAGTTTTTTAAAATAAATTTAGATGTCCATTTCAACTAGCACAGAATAGTGAACATCTTATATAGTCTTTGTATTTTTTCTTCACCGATTTATTTAATAGCACTTCCTTGAACTGTAATATAGTAGAATTACCAGAGAAGAGTTGCCATATAATACAAGGACAGAGAGAACTCTCTTCCCCACTAATTGTTCTTTTATAGTTTAATTCAGGGAGTTTTAGCCTTTAAGCTGGGTACCCCTTCTGGATGTGGAGCAGGGAGGGGGTACTGATGGCTGGCTGCGGAGCGGGGTGGGGTGGGGTTGCTGAGACAGCTGGACACACAGCTGGCAGCACAGGGAGCTAGCACGTGGCAGCCGCTGCCATCTATACACTCTGCGTCACTGTTGAGCACTGCTTTCCTGCGCCCAAGTATCCTTGCTTCTTTGCACTGCTGGCTTTGCGTCTGTCCGTAAGCACCCCCTCCCTGGCGCATGGCAGCAGTGTGTGGAACTCACGTGCAGGAAGCTCAGACACAGCAGCCACCCCCGCCACCATCTATACCCTCAGCGCTGCCGCCACACGCTGAGGGGGAGTGGAGTGGGTGCTGACAGCCGGCTGCATGTGAAGCTGGCAGTGCAGAGAAGCGGGGATACTTGGGCGCAGGAAAGTGGTGCCCAGTGGAAACAGGGAGTGATGGATGGCGGCGGTGGCCCCACCCCCCGCGCTGTTGCTTCCTAGGTACCCCCGGTTCTCCATGCTGTTGGCCTCGTGTTCGGCCGGCTGTCAGCAATGCTGCCCCCACCGACCAGCTGGACTTGAAGCCGGCAGTGCAGAGTAGTGGGGGTACTTGGGTGTGGGGAAGTGGTGTGCAGTGACAACGTGGAGTGATGGATGGTGGTGGTGACCCCACGCTGCCGCTTCCCAAGTACCCCTGCCTCTCTGTGCTGTGTACCTCCTGGGGCCTTCCCAAGTACCCCCAGGGGTACTCATACCCCTGGTTGACAACCCCTGGTTTAATTACGTTTGTACTTTTCTTCGACGGTGTTTTAGCAGGTACTCTTAATAACTATCAATAGAACAAAGAAATAATGTGAATGAATAGAACAGGTCTGGGCAATTATTTGTGCTGGAGGGCCACTTAACAAGTTTTGGTGAGGTGTTGAGGGTGGGAGGGGGGCAGGGAGATGCAGTTGATTCTCTGGGCCATGTGGCGCATAGACTGCTCCACACCCCCTGCATCCATTTTCCTATCTCCCATGCCTGGCTTTCTGTTGGCGCTGCACAGTCCTGGTACCATGGCTGCCAACAGTCAGACCCTCATGGGACAGGGCATAATGCAGCATGCTGAGTAGCCATTCTGCCTACCATGATGAGCTGCTGCTGCAGCACTGCAATGTGAAAGTCGGGGGCAGTTGCCCTGGGCTGAGCACCCCCTGTGGGTGGCACAGACTCACCTCCTAGTGTCTCCAGGGCAACAGCAGCTCATCACTGCAGGCAGGCAGGACAGCTTCTTGGCTTGCTGTATTGCACCCCATCCTGTGCTGGCGTGGCTGCTGGCAGCCACAGTGCAACCGTAGCACCAACAGGAAACTGGGCGGGGGGGGGGGGGGGGGGACGAATGCGGGGGGGGGGAGGGGAGACGAATGCGAAGGAGACGAGGTTGTGTGGAGGAGTCTGCGTGCTGCTCTGCCCTGCCCAGCCCAGCCCAGCCCACCCTGGGGGTGCTGTGGCAGAGCAGACCAGTACGGGGTGCAGCCCTCCCTCCTCAGGCTTGTGGCAGTGGCCAGTGGGCCGGATAGGATCAGTTGGTGGGCTGGGTATGGCTCATGGGCCATATGTTGTCCACCCCTGGAGTAGAGGCTTTCAGAAATGAAAAGTATACTTTCAAAATGTCTAGGTAGATAGAAAGGAGAATGTGTACCTTAGGATTTTGTCTCCTAAAAACAGGCCAGGGTAATTAATTGTTTGAGTTTGTTCATCATTATGATTCAAGAAATAGTAATGTTTTTCAAGAGGTATACATTTTAGAATGAAATCTTAACTAGAAGCATGAAAAATAATATTGTAGAGTACAAACACAAGTAGTTTACATTATCAACTTTTGTAAGTATACCAGAAGCAATTGTAAATCTTGCTCCCTAACTCTTGGTCTTGTGCATATGTGAATTATATGTGAATATTTTCCCCCCTATGTATTAATGACAGTGTACAGTTTTTCAAATCTAGGTATTTTGCATTTAAATTTGTTTTAATGCAATTTTTTAGTTTGAGAATCTGAACAATCCTGTTTAAAAAACAAAAACAGAAGCCCAGTCATCCAATGTGGATTCAGAAAAATCACATGCTTGTACTCTATATGTTGTATCACAACTTCACAGCATGAGTTTGGGATGTACTATAAGTATCATTGTATCTAGTTTTTTACAACATGGGCAGAAAAATGTGGTAGATAAACCTTCGTCTGCCATGTGTTTGTATAGATACTTATTGATTAGCAGCGATCCAGGTTTTCCGTTTGGAAAATGCATATTTCTCCTTTAAAGGAGAAAAACACAGGAAATGCTGTGTTTTCCCAAGCAGTCTGGCACAGTTTCAGCCAGCAGGGGGTGGCTTGGGACAGGGCAAAACAGGACACGGGGTACCATGTGTATGCATGTGCCCACGGCAGCCAGGCAGCGGTGGAGAGAAGCTACCTCCAGGTAAGTCTACGGGGCTGGGGAAAAGAGGGGGCACAGGCAATGCATGGGTGGAGGAAGGGGTACAGGTGATGGGCGGGGGCAGGAGGGGCACAGGCCATGCAGCAGGGGGGTGGAATGGACAAAGTAATGCAATGGGGAGTGGGTGCGGGGGGATGACACACATGCCCCTTAAGATTTCTATGCCCATAGTGGGGCATGGTGCTGCAGTTGGGCTGGACCAGCTCCAGACTGGAGCTGTCTCTGCAGCCCAGTGGGTGAGACCCGGCATGGAAGTCCTCCGTGGTTGCCAAGGTGAGGCGTGGTGGTATGTATATGCCTCGCGCTGCTGCCAGGTGGGCAGGGGCGCCTCAGCTCGCTGCTATGGTGGTGTGGTGCTCCCTCATGCATTGGGTCCCACCTGGGCTATGGGGGTGGCTCTTGCCTGGAGATGGTTTCAGCCTGATGGCAACCCTGCACCCTGCTGTGAGCACAGAAATCGGGGTGAGGGTGCACACATGCTTGCTTCTTGCGTACATCACCTATCCCCTGCCCCCCTTCCCTACACATCCACTTCCTCACATGCTAGGGACAGGGAGCTGTGGGTCAGGAGTGAGGGGCATTGGCAGGAGAATGGTCTGTGGGTCAGGAGTGAGGGGCGTTGGCAGGGCCAGGGGGTTGTGACTGGGGAGTGAGGAGCTGTGGCAGGGCCAGGAGGCTGTGGGTGGGGAGTGAACCGGCAGGTCCAGAGGCCTGTGGGTCAGGAGTGAGGGGCACCAGCAGGGCTGTGGGTGGGGAGTGAGGGGCAGGGGTAGGGCACCTGGCCTATCAGGGGTGCTCAGTGCCACAAAGCAGCATAGGGGACCAGGATGACAGACAGCTGCAGCTGGACCTGCATCCTGGTGAGTGATGGTGGTAGGGGGAGCTCTGATCTTCCATGATAAAGAAACAAAATCAAATGCCAAAATATATAAGTATTCATAATTTATTTTATTATAGTGATCGAGGCTCGGGTAGGCTTCCAAATTGCTTTAAACTTGCAAATACAGGTTTCCCTCGATTAATGCGGTACATGCGTTCCTGGAGAACAGCGCATAAATTGAATACCCATAAAGTGAACCCACTTCACAATGTAACAAATAGGGATAGGTTCCCATGGCAGTGAGGGAGGGAGGGACTAGGGAAGGGGCATGGGGAGGGGTGCTGCTCCCGGGGCTGCACAAGGCAGCAAAGTAGAGGGAACAGAGCAGCACTCATCCCAGTCCCAGCTGCAGTGGACCCGGGAGCAGCTGGCGCCAGTGGCCTGCAGCTGCTGGGCTGCACCATGCACCACCTGTCCCCACTCACCTCTGCTCCTGGGCTGCGCTGTGCCCTGGTGCGGGCAGCTGCTCCTGGGGCCGCTGCACCCAGGGCTGGGGTGAGTGGGGCCATGGCCCTTTCCCCTTCCCACACAGACTTATCTGCTTGGGTTGGGGGGCATCTATGCTGATCGCGTAAGAGTGAATTTACCTCGCATATAACAAATTATGGGTCTAAATATGCTCATCTCATAAGAGCGAATGCTCATATAAAGAACCTGCATAAATTGAGGAAAACCTGTATTGTGTACTGATCTCTCTCTCTCATGGTGTTTCATTTTAATCGTGGAAAAACGCTGATTTGGGTTTTGTAATCAGGGAATTTTAAACACAGAAAACCAGGATCTCAGTTAGGATAGTGGAAAAATGCTTTGTCTTAAGGGTTAAAGTACGGACAACCTTTCAGTATACAAAGGTTTGTACTTATAAAATTCAGTTTGCTGTTTTTAAACAATTCTAGATGACAACATCGGGTGGAGGAGGTTTCTGTGACTGTGGTGATACTGAAGCTTGGAAAGAAGGCCCTTACTGTAAAAAGCATGATCTTAACACATCACAGACTGCAGAAGAAGAGGTAATAACAGATGAGACACTTAAAAGCATGAGGATGGGTCATTCTTGTATAGCCGGGTCAAATTTATTAACTCTGATTCTGAATTTCACAAGATTTTGCTGATGTAACTGACTTCTGCAAGGCTTAGTGTTCATCTCAAAATTAAGAAAAACAAATGCTGTAGATGTAATAAAATTAATACATTTCATTGCTGCTGTTAATGAGTAATCTATTTTAGGTCCTTCCAATATACTGTTTAAAGGTAGCATTTCAAGCTTTGTACCTAGTATTTTCTGGGATGCTTTGGAAGTGATTCAAACTGGAAAATGGGGAATTTTCACCAGAAATTGGATGTTATCCTGATATTTTTACTGTTATCATCACATCATTCATATTTATTGTGTTTAGTGTGAGGAAATTAAAAGAAGAAATCTTTCAGAGCATCGAAGATCTTGATGTGTTCTACTTTACAGGCTAAATGAAACAATTTGACAGATCACACCATACTTAATATTTGTATCATAGCAGTCTTTGCATATTAAATAAGATTACAAAATCTATTTTGCAATCTAAATAATTTACTTTTAAAGTCAAGCATGTAAAATAATAGAAACAGCCTTTGTTTTGTATCCTTATTCTTCTCTCCTATACTGGATGAGGAAAGGGGCCTTCCAGAATATGCATTTCAATATAATCACATATATAGAGAGGGCCACATTAAAGCTGTGTATACTTTAAAAAAGTTATTTCCATTGCAAAGTCCAGTACATTAAAGATGTTTTTAATCTAAATTCCTAGAATTTTTTTTATGGTTTAAGGGAAAAGTTAAACAAATTCTCTTATTTATAACTGTAACAGCTTATTTATGTATCTTCAGTAATACAACTCAGACTTTTGCCACCTGAGCTACAGGATTAATTATAGTTACTAGTAATGCGAGTATACTACTAACGTAGAAGGAGAGATGAACATCAGATGCCATGTTCCGTGTCTTAAGGGGATGTGGGGATGGAACTTGACTTTGGCTTTTCTCTCTGTAGTAGGGAACGGGGAATTTCTGCTCCATGTGGTATGTCCCAAAGAGCTTATTAGGGACCTACCTAAATCATGGAGGAAGTTTGTGGTCCAGCGGTGTCTTTCATCTTGATTTTTTTGCTGCTTGCCCGCCTGCCCACTGCTGAGTGGCAATTAATGCTGTGGGTTTTGCCTCTCAGATACATGGGAGAATGAGGAAACAGTGTATAAATGTTTATCAGAATTTACTGAGAACTGTATAGGGCAACCTAGGAGAAAGTATGAAGTTGCTGAGTGGAAAACTTAAGTGGAGCCATTGGAGGTGAGTCAGCATTTTGATAGTGAGCGAGAGATGTTTGGTATGATGGACATGTGAAGGGCTTGAAAATAGACACAGACAGTTATGTTTGAACCTGTGAAAAGTTGAAATCGGTGAAATGACCTGATCAAAATAATAGGCTAGGAAAATGATCTTTGCATTCTTCATAATGGATATGAACAGGCAAGACTCCTTTTGCTTAGGGCAGTGATTCTCAACAAGGGTGACTTGACATCCTTTCAAGGGTTGAACACAATGTTCTCTCTGTTAGGTTTACAAGCATGATTCCCAAGATAAACCCAGAGATTTCAAATAGAAATCTATATCTATGTTCTTTCTGAGTTTTGTTTTGTTTTTTGTAACAGAAAAACTGCTCTATTTTCTGTAGGCAAAAAAATAGTGAAAATGTAAGAGTTGGCCCTTTTGAAGGGGAGTCTTGAGTTTATCCAAGGGTTCCTCAAGTCCAAACAGGTTGAGTACCACTGGTCTGGGGTTAGAGAAAATCATAGTGTAACTGCAATGTGAGATGGTGAGCCTGGGGACTGTTTTTTTAAGTTTGTGGATGGATAGAAAGGAATATATGTTAGGTAGGTCATGTAAGAATTTTAGCAAGATTTAGCTAGTTTAGATGTTTTTGTTGCATGAGAAGACCTGGAGAGTAAGGTCTCTAGTTTAGCCACATTGCGCTTGAATTGATGGTCAGGCATCCATGAGGAATTGTCAGAAAAGTTATGAGATTTTAGTTTGGGTAGAAGGAAACCTGTTTGGAATAGAAGTAGATTTTTGAGTTGCCAGTGTAATAATTTAATTTGTCTTTATGGGTAGGGTTACTCAGAGATAAGAGATGGAGAAGAGGAGCAAGTGCAGAGCCCTGCTTTGTCTACAGAAGGGTGGTGGGGAGAGGATGAGGAGGACCCTCCACAGGACTTGCTGAAGAAATGAATGTGTAGGTGGGAGTAGAGCCAAGTAATGACAGTCATTGGATCCCATGATGATGACATACATGGTCAAGGATTTTGAAGGTGGCTGACAAGTCAAAGGAATATGAGGATGGAGTATTGGTTCTGAGATTTGCATAGGAAGCAGTTGCTGGAGACTTTGATTAAAGGAGTTTCAGTGGAACGCAAGTGGGGAAGTTGGACTGGAGAAGGGTCCAGGATAGAATTAGTGGGAAGAAACTTGTGATGGAATGTGTAAGCTTCATCTGGCTTCAGTTAGGAATTGTGTCCACTTAGACAGATGGCTACTAGCAGATCAAGATGCAGATCCTGCTGTGGCTACTAATGAAAAGCAGTCATGCAAAGGCTGAAGGCTGCCAGGCTGAGAGCCAGTTAGCCACAGGGTGAGCTAGTAATGGGTAGGCTGTAGTAGTAGAAAGGACAGCTTAAACAGTTGAGTCAAAGGTGGTAAGAAGGTCCCTGGGGTTGTAGGTACTAGATTCAATTAAATGACAGAAGTAAGGAGACCAAATGAAGCAAAAAACTCTTTTCGTGAGTGAGAAGGTTGAACCAGGATTACAGGTTAAGTGAAGAGGTGAAGATGAGAAAACATTAAGCTAAGGAGTTGCATGAGACTTTAACATGGATGTTGAAGTTATTGAAGATTACATAGAGAAGTGAACCATCTTCATAGACTTATATTTTCATTTTTTCTTTTTAAGTTAAAACCAGAGGTAGTAACTACTAGGCAGAAACTGTTATGGTTACAATTAGTCATTCTCCCTAGCATTTTCCTTTTTTCTAATATTATCTAGTTTCTTGCTATACATAATATCTGCTGTATTTATAAAAAAAAATTGTACCATTTCTGTTTCTCATTAACACGCGTGGTAAATTTTTTGTATGAATTTTCCACCAGGCTATAATCACTTCAGTGAACAAATTTAGTCCAATTCGTTTTCTTTCATCTTTTTTTTTTTTAAAAGGTATTCATTTCTGGGGAAAAAAAAAAAAAGGTATGCATAGACTGGTAAAATGGAAGGATTAAATTTGTTTAAAGTTTGCTCTTAATTTAATTTTTAATACTGTTTACTTTTTTCCTCTTAAATAGGGTAGAATAAGTTTAACATTCACTTATTTTATTTTTTTGGTGCATATGTGCCTATAAAGAGAAGTCATCACATTTAACAAGAAATTATAATGTAACAGAAACATGAGGGAGAGGAGTGAAAAGTGGTAATAGTCAAATGTTTTATTTAATTTGTGAGATGTCATATCTGATCTGTATATGAACAGCATTTGGCCGAAGGAGATACGGGCTTGAAACTTCTCATTTATATGTATTTACTCTCAAGTTACATGAGAGAGGATTACATAAAATGTTCAACACAGGAGAGTAGAAGTAGGATTTGAGCACAGATCAGGTTCTTCTTTTAAATGCTGCTTAATACATCCAGTTTTTTCTAACATTTTTCTTCTGTTGACTTAATATTTTTTAGGATCCTCTGGTGCATTTATCTGAAGATATGATAGCAAGAGCTTATAACATTTTTTCTATCATGTTTCAATATGCAGTAGATATATTAACATGGGAAAAAGAAAATGAATTGCCACCTGGCTTAGAGATGGTGTAAGTATCATTTTTGTCTCTGAGCTTTTTCAAAACTTGCAGGTATTTGGAGTATAAAATGTTAAATTCTTGCATCGGTCATAAAATTCTTTGAACTACTACAAGATGATGCTGTTAAGTATCTCAACATTTTATCTTAGAAGAAATCTTATTATGGATTGTAGTTTTTGTTTTTTCAATATTGCACTGAGCTCTCTGTCGTCTTAGTGGTAACCAAGTAGTATCCATGTAATTAGTACTGTGTAAATGGTGGAAATCAGGATTATATTGAATGTTAAGTTTTTTTAAAACAAGGAAAGTGTGGCCTGACTGACTGACTAGTGTATTATTTTGCAAAGTGATAAACAGGTTTTGTGAGAAGCTCCTAGCTTGTCATAGGTTGAAGGGACTATAAAGGAGGACAACCAAAGAGAAATGCATAGGAAAATCATGCTGTATTGCTAAGATTCACACACAGATTCACACAAGTTTAGGGCTGGAAGGGACCTCGTGAGATCATCGGGTCTAGCCCCCCCTGCTCTGGGCGGGGTCTTGGAGGCAATGCAAAATAGTCTGAGCGCAGGTACATTGAAAGGAGATCATTTTTCCTTAATGAGATGCTGTCAATTGCAAATAATAAAATGTACAGAGGTAAAGTTAGGGACTCTTCAGTCTAACCTGTTGCCCTTGAGTCTGCAAAAATCAGGCCCCTGACGAGTAAAGCGCTGAGCTCTGTATGAGGTGCAGAATGTGTGAAACTCCCATGCATGTAAGTAAGAGTTGGAGCAATTGACACGTTCAGGGTAAAGCTTTGTTGATGTGTTTCAGCAGTGGCATGGATTGCCTATTTATTAGAAATCATTAAAATTAAAAAATGTAAAGCTCTATCACTTAATGGTATAAATTTGCTCTACAGTGAGAAGAGTGACACTTACTACTGCATGCTTTTTAATGATGAAGTTCACACATATGAACAAGTTATATACACCCTACAGAAAGCTGTCAACTGTACACAGAAAGAAGCCATTTTTTTTGCAACAACAGTAGATAGAGATGTAAGTAACTTCCTAGTTAAAATATTAATTAAATTGCAGGGTTAGACCATGTATATGTAACTAAGATAGACGCTTCTGTTTTCTTAAAATTTGGTTTTGAGCTTTTCCAATATGCTGGCTTGCTCTATTCTGTTGGTAAAAGAAAATGCCAGGAGCAAATATAGAAGAACTAAAGGTAAGACTCACAATAGGCAGAAGAACGAGGGAGCTGAACATGCTTTTCTGTAAGCAGTACACTGGTCTCTAGAGTACCCTTGTTCTGCACCACTGTATTGGGGAAGCATTTACCAGAATGAACACTTTAGGCGGTCTGTGATTTACAATTTGGAAACAGTTCTCTGGATTGAAGTCCATAGCTCCAGGTTTAAAAGATCATAATTTATTTTATCACCATTAAAGTTTATTATTTGTGTTTAAAGGTTGGGATTAAAACAGCATATTAAATACAAGTAGTAGGTTTTTGCGATGAGATTCCTGTGGACTTTATCAAAACAGACAATTGAATCTTAAGGTCTGACAAACTTTGGTTTTACCTTCTTTGAAGCTATTAAAGTGTAATTTATGATGAAAAAAACCTGACCCCCCCCTTTCATAATGATAACATAACATAAGCTATACTTGTATTAAGAGTTATTCCCCCCCACTTCATAATGATAACATAACATAAGATATACTTGTATTAAGAGTTATTTTTTGACTAGGGAGATCAGGAATGGAGTGTTACAAACTTTAAATTAAAATTGCTTTAAGTTTTTTCTGTATCCATCAGTGTGGTTAGTACAGGTGGCAATTTATTACCTGTGAGATTTTTCTGTTTATATTAAAACGTACAGTTTAATTTTCTCTTTGTTTTTCCACAAACTGCTAGTAATTCTGTTTTTTATCGAATTAAAGGGACGCAGATCTGTCCGATATGGAGACTTCCAGTATTGTGATCAAGCAAAATCAGTAATAGTGGTAAGTGGGTCTTATGTGCTTTGTTCTTTGAGCTTCCCGTAAATATCTATACAGAACAGTTTTGGAAAATTGTGTTATTTTTACTTTTAAATTTATGCACTAGATATTATTTTTAACAACATTCTTGGTGGTAGAGATTCAAGGAGCCAGTACAAGGTCTGCCTGTGGCTGGTCCCTTTCAGTGGTCATTCCTCAAGCCAAGGCACTGTCATGAACAATGCCCTCCCTCCCTTTATATATCTGTATATCTATCAGTCTCTCCTAGTTGAGGATGATTGTCTTCCATTATTGATTGCTTTATCTGTGCATTTGAAGATGGCTCACAAGGCTGATCCAGGATTGACAGTCTCTTCTGTAATTTGGGCACATGTTTCCGTGTGAGGTGGGTGGCTTTGGATTCTTAATTCAGTTCTCAACACGCTGTTTCTGCTGCTACTCCTGCTTTTCCATCTCTTGTTGTCATCATAAAGTTTCAAAATTCTAGATCTTTGCAGCAGATACTTCCTCCGTTTGGGGCTGTCCAGGGCAATAAGTCTCCCATGAGTTAGTGTCAATGTCGCATTTTTTCAAGTTGACCTTGAGGATGTCCTTGAAGTGCTTTCTCTGCCCTAGTCTTTAGTGTATGCCTGATTGAGCTGGGAGATTAAAACTTGCTTTAGGAATCTGGAGTTGGACATCTGGATGACGGCCAGCCCAGCCAAGTTGATGCTGTGTGATTGTCACCTCCATGTTCATGGTGTTTGCTTTGAGAGGATGCTAATGTTCGTGCATCTGTCTTCTCACTGGATTTCATAGATTTCATAGACATTAGGGCTGGAAGGGACCTCGGAAGATCATTGAGTTCAGGCCCCTGCCCAAAGGGCAGGAAGTCAGCTGGGGTCATAGGATCCCAGCAAGATAAGCATCCAGTTTGCTCTTGAAGGTGTTCATTGTAGGCGCTTGAACCACCTCCGGTGGCAGGCTGTTCCAGACCTTGGGGGCTCGGACAGTAAAGAAATTCTTCCTTATGTCCAACCTGAAACAGTCTTGAAGTAGTTTATGACCGTTCGACCTAGTCGTCATCCCTTGGGGCGCTCTGGTGAACAAACGTTCCCCCAGATACTGGTGGTCACCCCTGATAAACTTATAGGTGGCCATCAGATTACCCCTGAGCCTGTGCTTTTCCAGGCTAAAGAGCCCCAGGGCTCTCAGCCTGTCATCGTAGGGTCTGCTTCCCTGACCTCTGATCATGCGCGTGGCTCTTCTCTGGACTCTCTCAAGCTTCTCCACATCCTTCTCCACATCCAAATTTATTTGGATGTGGAAGTCAAAGAAGCTTAAGGACACACTGAAGCATCCTAATTTTTTTTCTTGATGAAATTTTTATGGAAAGAACAACTATATTAGAAATGCAAGCATACTTTAGAAAAAGTAGATCAAAATGTCATGTATCCATAAAAGTAGAGATAATGATATCTGCAAATGAGTGACAGTTTAGATAACTGCACACAGTTGATGGGCTCCGCAGGGCATTTTATTATTTGTTCTTTTAACTGCAATACCAGATATACCCAGAATCAGGGCCTCCATTCCAGTAGCAGCTGTAGAACTATATAAGACTACCATTACCACTCAGGACACAAGAAGAAGTGAGAGACTGAGGTATAGGAAGATTAAGCAACATATCCATGATTGCACAGCAGGTAAATAACTCCACCCATGACTGGACCACAGGTATAGACAGTTATACCCTGTGAGAGATTGAGTGGACAAAAGAGGTGGGGGTGTACCTCTTTATGTCAAGGAAAGCTACACATCCCTGCAAGCCGACATTGGTACCCAGGGTGGATGACCGGAGGCCCTCTGGGTTAAAATCCATGGGGAACATAGCAGAGGGGACACAATGGTGGGAATCTATTACAGACCTCCTACCCAGGATCAAGAGCTTGATCAGGAGTTCATCAGGGAATTGACTGAACCTGCACGCTCCCAGTGTATGGTTGTCCTGGGAGATTTCAAATACCCTGACATCTTGGTGGAAGAGCGCTTGGCCAAATATGAACAGACGCAAAGCTTTCTCTTGTGCGTGGCTGAGCTTTATCTGATGCAAGAAGTCAATAGGCCGATGGGAGGTAAAGTGCTGCTCAACCTGGAACTGGCTATGAGGGATGACCTAATCAGTGACCTAACAATCGAAGAGAAGCTGGGTGACAGTGATCAAGAGCTGATCACCTTCACCATCCATCATAAAGCTGGCAAGTCAGTCAGGAATACAGAAGTCCTCAACTTCAGGAAAGCTGACTTTGACAAGCTCAGGAGGCTTGTGTGGCAGAAGGCCACCTTTGTTTCTCCCCAAAAACTCTGCTCTGTGACAATTTGATTAGGATCGGCCCAGCAGAGGAGACACACCTTTACCCTATCTCTTTAGGTAACCTGAGCTGGATACATTCCTGAGGGAGGGGGGAAACCTGCTCCCTCTGCCTACATGACTAGTATCACATACCTGTGTGAGGGGCTTCCTCCCTGGTGGGCTAGAGACTGCCAGTATGCCTGGCAACTAGTGATGTATTTCAAATTGGTTGTCTGACAGCCAACAGGTGCTGGCCTCCATTGGGCCAAACAAATGAGGTCACAAGGGCTATATAAGTTAAGGAGTGCCCAGGAGGTGGGGGCAGCAGCCATGAGGGAGACTCAGAGACAGAGAGGAGCTGGACCATCTGAAACTTGCTCTCTCTCACAACTCATGATCAAGAAACTGCCTGCCTCCAGAGGGAATCTCCAACTGCCTCTAGATGATACTTGTGAGTAAGCTACCTGAGATCTAACTAGATATATAGCTTGCTGTAAATCAGATGCGTGATCAAAGGGACTTGCGCGTTGCTGACCGACTTGCCAGCTTTTCGGCGGATGGTGAAGGTGATCAGCTTGTGGTCGCTGTCACCCAGCTTCCCATCGATCACTAGGTCGCCGACTAGGTCATCCCCAGTAGCCAGTACCAGGTCGAGCAGCGCTTTGCCTCTCGTTGGCCCATAGACTTCTTGAGTCAGGTAGAGGTCATCCACGCACGAGAGGAAGCTTTGTGACCACTCAGATTTTGCTGAGCGATCCTCCCACGAGATGTCCGGGTAATTGAAGTCACCCATGACAACCATGGTCCTGGACCATGCGGCCTCAGGCAGTTCCCGGGCAAACTCCTGGTCAAGCTCAGGACTTTGGGTGGGAGGTCTGTAGTAGACTCCCACCATTGTGTCCCCTGTGCTGTGTTCCCCACGGATTTTAACCCAGAGGGTCTCCAGCTGTCCACCCTGGTCGCCAATATTGGCTTGCAGGGACGTGTAGCTTTCCTTAACATAGAGAGCTACACCCCCGCCCCTTTTCTCTACACGATCCCTCCTGTACAGGGTATAGCCATCTATAGTCGTGGTCCAGTCATGGGTGGAGTCCCACCAGGTTCCGTTATACCTATGACATCATAATTATTTGCACTGGGCAGGAGGATGAGTTCCTTCTGCTTATTCCCCAAGCTCCTGGGGATTTGAAGGATCTTCATCAGGCAGCATTGTTGGCACTTCTCCAATGACTTGAGGTGTCTCTTGTACGTTGTCCATGTTTCAGCTCTGTACAGTAAGGTGGGGATCATGAGTGCTTGATAAACTATGAGCTTGGTTTCGGATCTGATGTTGCAATCTTCAAACATCCAAAGGTTGCACTTTCACTTTTGAGGCAATGCTGGATTTTTTTGTCTATGTCAGCCTTCTGGGAGAGATGGCTTCTGAGGTACAGGAAATAGCATTCTCCAGAGTCTCACCATAAATCTGAATTAGTGGAGCTGTGGAATGGTCATTAAAGGCGTCTCCAGATGAGCAAGCACGTGCCTGTTGTGGTGTCTCGAAGCAGTTTGAGACGCTGAAAGAGGCATGCTGGGAACAAAAAAATGGTTCCCCACACTACATATTTGCAGTGCAGATTCTTATTTTGATACCAGGAAATCCTGGTATTAAAAAACAAAAAAGTCATGTCAGAAAGCGACACAGGTTATGCTCCTGGAGTGTGCCTTGAAACAACTGGAGGTTGGGTCCTCCATAGAGATGCTCTGGCACCTGGCCAGAGTGTCTATGGCTGCCCTGTCCCCCTGCTGCTCCAGCACACTTCCTCGGTGTGCTGGAGCAAATAGGAGCACGGCAAGGCTTCAGTGGTGGATCAGACCCAGGTGCTGTCACCGGTAAGTAGGGACATGGGGTGGAGGGGTTGGGTGGGGAGGGACTGCTCAAAAGGGGTGGGTCCCCTTCCTTCCTCCTCCCCCACCCCCGTACAGCGCATAGCCCCCTTGCAGCAGTGGCAGCTGTCGGGGTGCTCACAGCCTGCTACTCACAGAACCCCCAGCGGCGTGGTGTGGTGCAGCCCCGGCCACCTGGGACATGGTGCTGCCTGTGCATGCCACATGCAGCTGGCTGGTGTGTAGAGCAGAACCGGGCCGCTCTTGCTTCCACTTGGGGTTCCAGCACTGCAGGTAGAAGCTGTGCGACCCTTGGACCGGGCCGGGTCCCCTCCATGTGCTCTGTGTATTGTCAGGCTGGGCTGGCTCTGTACAGGCAGGACCCCTCCCGGCCTGGGGGTATGAGGTTCCTGTCTGGGTCTGGCAGGCATGGAGCCATGGGGCTGTAGGTCCAAGGGGGGGATGCTGTTGCAGGTGGCAGCAGATCACAGCCAGGCAGCAGCCCCCACTGCCAGACTGCCGCAATGGGTAGAGGGTACAGGGGCCACTCTAGGTTAGAGTTGCTTCAGCATTTTAGCTGGCACAAGAGGCTAGTGTCCCCAGATACCAACTGGCTGGGCCTCAAGCTCCTAAGGACACGTAGTCCTGAGCTGCTCGCAAGGGCAGCTTTTTATACTGCTGGCCCCAGCCTCTAGCTCCCCCCTAGCTGAAGATCCAAGAGTTGCTGGGCAGGGTCAGTTTGCCCGAAGTGGCACAACTTGCACCAAAGTGCTTGTTCAGGCATGTGTGCTGAGGCAGAAATCTCTGGCACAAATTTGAACTGCTGCTATTTGAGCTGCTGCAAGCACATGTGCCTGCATGTGTGGACATGCCCCAAGAGCTTGTTGATAGAGGTCTTCTGAATGTTAAGTGTCAGTCCTATTTTCTTGTATGCCTCAGTAAAAATGTTGACGATTGCTCAAAGGTCTACTTCTGAGTGAGCATGCACTACAGCATCATCAGTGTACTGGAGCTTGATGATTGAGGTCAGGGTGGTCTTGGTTTTGGCTTGGAGTTGGCTGCGATTAAACAGTTTACCTTCCATTTGCTAGTTTAGCTCCACTCCGACTGAAAGCTTGTTGGTGGTCAGCTGTAACATCGCAGTAAGGAATATCGAGAAGAGTGTTGGAGCAATGATGCAGCCTTACTTAACTCCTGTTTTAACCTTGAAGCGATTTGTGATGGATCCATTACTGAGAACTACTGCTTGCATATTGTCATGGAGCAGGCAAAGAATGGTGACAAATTTCAGTGGGTATCCATACTTCAGAAGGATCCTCCACAGTGCTTCTTGGTTTGCAGTTGAAAGCTTTCATGAGGTAAAGAAAGCCATGTAGAATGGTTTATGTTGTTCCTGACATCTTCACTGCTTGTCAGCTGCAGGAAAAATCATGTCACTTTTTCCTCTTAATGCCAGAAACCCAAACTGAGATTCTGGGAACAGCTCTTCGGCAATTGGAAAGAGATGGTTCAATGCTGTAGGACGGGTGTCAAACTCACCTTGTGCCCTGGACCAGATCCGGACCACTGGGCTCCTTGTGGGCCAGCTCCAGTCCAGAACATGCGGCAGCTCTTGCTTTAGCACAGGGCACATGGTGGCCATGGCAGCTTCAGCATGGGGGCATTGATAGAGTCTGCAGCTGAGGGCAAAGCAGCGTGAGGGCATCTAGGGCTATATCAATCCTTGCTCATCCTCCTGCCCCTGATTGCCATGTCCACTGGAGCCCAAGGCTTGCAGGTTCTCCACCAGACTATGTCCCGCTACTTCTGGTGGCCCACCAGTAGTCTGACAGGCTGGATTGAGTGAGTCTGCAGGCAAGATCTAGCCCACAGGGCATACATTGACACCTCTCCTCTATGAGCTAGGCTGTTTAGATGGTCATATTTCTCTGCTTCTTATCCATAAGACTTTACTGGCCATTTGGCATAATATTCTTATTTCATTCTTTAGGAGCAAAAAATATCTCAAGGGAATCTTCGTATTTATAATATTTTACCTTAATACATGAACTTTCCTTTCCCTTTCTTCAGTTTCTCATTGTTAGGGGTGCTTGTGTAAAAGCAGATTTTTTTTTAAACTTAATTAATCTACTATTACTTATTTCTCTTAATACTCTGTTCACGTTCAGCTAATTGGCCGCATTGGGAATGATTTTAGTTTGCAAATTAGTCTTTAAAGTACATATTCATAAGCAGCAAAAATTCCTGAATCTTATTTTATAAAATAAGAAGACTAAAAAGTGTTGGTTTTTTTTTTTTAAGACAAATAATTTTCAGAAGCAGAACAACTTATTAAACTTATAAATTATAGACTTTCCTTTAATAATCAGAAATTCTATGTTGAGCTAACTAAAAGATACTACAGTAAAATCCCTGTTAACTGGCATGAGTGATGAATGGGGGGTGCTGGTAAGCTAAAAGTGCCGGTTACCTGAGGCACAGGTTTCCAGCCAGTCGTGGGGGGTGGGAAGCCTGCGGCAGTGGCTGCGCCCGGCTCTGACCCTGGGTGGGGCGGGAGGGGCTACAAGAATCACTTCCTGGGCGGGTGGGTCCCAGCTGCACCCCAGTTGCTCCAGCTGAGGCCCTGTCTCAGGTGCTGGGAGCCCTGCAGTGGTGGGGGCAGGTAGGAGAGTCCATCCCCACTCCCTGCGGCAGGCGCTGCACCCAGCTGTTCCACATGGGCCTGAGGGGCTGGAGCTGCTGCCCCAGGGGTGCGGGGCTCCTAGCTCTGACCCTGGGCGGGGTGGGGTGGACCAGGCCGCAGAAATCACTCCCCGGGCAGGTGGGTCCGAGCTGCACCCCAGAGGCTCCAGCTTTGCCCTGCCCGAGGCGGCCATATCTGGCCACATGCCACTCCTCCTCTTCCCCCAACTGCCAAGGCAGCCCGGCCACAGATTGCTGCAGCGGAGGGAGCTGTGTGCACGCAGCCAGGTAAGAAAGTGGTGCAGCAGGCAGGAAAGCGGCAGGGTGTGGTGCCATGTGTGTCCTGCTGCTGAAATTCCAGTTGATCAAGTATTTCGGTTAGTAAAATCCCAGATAACAGGGATTTTACTGTATTTCACACCTTTTTTAAATATATATGCTGTCTAGGATTAAGGGTGTTGCATATATACCTTTTTATTGCAGTTGATTTAAGGTTATGGAAAAATTAGGTTTGTTTCCAGGCTAGAAAACGATCTTGTTAATGTGCTGCAGGGAGACTACTCAGGCTAAGTTTACTAAAACTTAAAAACTAGAATGGCTTGTTAGTTAATACCAATAAAGTCAAACTGAATTTGTTGAAGGGCAACATTAGTTTGACAAACTGCATTTCTATCTGAATTTTAATTTTTATATCTTTTGCCCCAATATATTTTTGCTTTGTACATTTGACAACACTTTGGATGATCACTTTCACTGTTATGTTGGTAGTCAGCTGCATCAGTTTTTTGTATTCCTCGGGGGAGCTTGCGTGTGTGCTGCTGCTCCTTACACTTCACAAGAGGGTGCTTATCAGTAAGATGCAGCACTGCGAGGAAGGGGAAGGTAGGAAAAGTAAGAGCCTGAACATGTAGGATGTCTTTTTTTGACTTGGCCAAAAAGCTTTCAACATTTCAATTGCAGAACAGAAAAAAAAGTCTAAATTTTAAATTAAATACAAAATGCGCTCTTCAGTATACTGTCCAAACAACATGAAATCACAAAACTTATTTTTAGATGAATTAGCTGAAAAAAATATCAAGTTGTTTGTCTTAGTTTTTGTTGCACTGTTGGATAAGATTGTGCTGGAACAGTTATGATCAATGTTTTAATAAAATGTATTGCAATTTCTAATTTCTATGCAAAATTATTTTAATTTGGGATATAGGCATGCTACATCTTTCTCTACAAGTGTCTGTGTGCTTTTTCTTATTTGTAATTGAGCATTCTTTTCCCTTCTTCTCTTTTAAAGAGAAATACCAGCCGTCAGACAAAGCCACTGAAGGTTCAGGTTATGCATTCGTGTATTGTTGCCCATCAGAGCTTTGGTTTGAAACTCCTGACTTGGCTTGGCAATGTGATTGGATATTCAGGTAGGCAAACTTGAATGGTTTTATTGGTAAATTTAGAGGCAAACAATCCTAGAAATAACAGAAAAATAAGTTGTTAAATGGCTTACCTCAGATATGCAATCTGTATGACTAACCCGTTAATTTGTGTCTCATTCTCACTTTTTGCTCTTGGGTTTGTGTTCCCCAAATTCTAACCCTCATATAGAAGTGTTCTGAGTCTTACTTTATACAGGGTCTTCATAAAGTCCTTGTGCACTTTTAAACTTTAATAATTTAGGTTGTAGGTATGATAGAAACAATCTGTAAACGGCATTTAAAAGCAAATTTATTAAAGTTTTAGGACAACTAGAGTACACAATGCTAGACTTCAACATAACCACCATCCATCATGATACAGTGCTCAATCTGATCTTTCAACTCATTGAAAACGTTTCCCAGTTGCTCTTGAGTTACTGCACTAATTGCATTGCTGATCCTAGCCCTAAGTTTCACCAAAGAACATTGTTTTGACTAGTAAACTACACTTTTAACATGTCCCCATAAAAAGAAGTCCAGCGGTGACAAGTCAGGTGAACGAGGTGGCCAAGCCATTGGTCCACCTCTGCCTATCCACTTCTCTGGGAAAATGTAATTTAGGAACTGTTGTACATTCAGAGTGTAGTGGCATGGAGCTCCATCTTATTTAAGAATAAATTTGTTATTATTTATGAAGTCTAGTATTGTGTACTCCAGTTGTCCTAAAACTTTAATAAATTTGCTTTTAAATGCCGTTTACAGATTGTTTCTATCATACCTACAACCTAAGTTATTAAAGTTTAAAAATGCACAAGGACTTTATGAAGACCCTGTATATTTATATTGGGTTTTTTTGGTTTCTTTGGTTGGCATTGAATGAGAACTTCAAGAATTGCTGTTGAATGGTAAGTGCTGGATATCTCTCAACACTTGATCATTTTAAATGAATAAATGTAAACACAATCATTTTGTTTACACATCTCAACATTATTAAAATGTTAGTGCAGTATTTACCTGAATACAAGAGGACTCTGAGTGTAAGATGCCCCCCTGGTAATTAGGTTCTATACACAGAGAATCTATAAATTTATTATACTTTTCCATGTATGGAATCTAATTATTGGAGGATTATTGTAAATATTTCCCCCCACTATTGGAGGTGGTGTGACGAGAAGCAATGCTGGGGACAATAATGGGGAAGGTGGTAGGGCGCACATAGAGTGGGTGAGACAGTAGGGGGCATACAGTATGGGGGTTGGAAAGGCAGGCAATAGGAGGCTGTAAGGAGGGAGCAGTAGAGAATAGGCAGTAGGGGTGCAAGTGGTAGGGGGCAGGCAGAGAGGCAGGCAGCTTGTCTTTCCCTGTCCCCTCCTCTTTCTCCCTCCACACTGCTTCTGCCCCCCACAGGCTCAGGTCCTTGCCCCCCCTCTTCCTGTCTTCCCTCCCACCCCCCTCTTTCCCCCTTACCTTTGCTCTGTGCCAGCAGACTTGGTCCCTGATACAGCTTGGAGCACAGAACATGGCTCCAGTCTGGCCCCATAGCAGTGGTGCAGAGCTGGTACTGCTGGTACAGTGCTACATACTCCATGTTCCTGGCTGCAGGGAGGGCAAGCCTGCCAGAGCTAAGCAAAGGTAAGGAAGAGCATAGGAGAGAGGGGAGAAGTGGCTAGAGGGGGAGGAAAGATTAGGGGCTGTGTGCAAGGAGTGACTGGGCATGCAGAGGCAGTGGGGGGCAGGCATTAGCTGTAGCTCCAGCTTCGACCCTAGCCCCTGTTACCCACTGCCCCATGCTTGACTAAGGCAAGGAGCTTTTTTCCCCATGTTAAATGGGGGGAAGAAAAACCTTTTTAATCGAATAAATATGGTAATGAGTATGACTTCCTTTTATGAAGGACAGCAAAACTTATTATGTCAGATCTTTTACAGTGTACTTAAGAAATGTACTTAAAGCTTTACACAGGCAAGTACTAGGGGAGGAGGCTTGTTTCAGGGAATCAATATATACAAGGTAATTTCATGGACAGGTACCTTGTCAGTTTTGGCTGAAGAGCTCTGTTCTTGTCATGGGAACAGAGGTAGGAAATGAGAGCTAATTAATGAAGCCATAGGCTTAATGACTCACTTGATTCCTTTGTTTCCTGCCTAAATGTAAAGAAGTGGAGTGGAAGTGTGGGTGGGGTTTGAAGAGAGAGTGAATGAGAGAGACAGTGGAAGCTAGGACAAAGCGAGTTTATACATATCAATTTTGATTGAAACCTGCTTAAACTATTGTTTCTGTTGCACTCAAGACAATAATCTTATAGAATTATTAGTATTGTATTTTCATAGGTTCATAGATTGTTAGGAGTGAGACGGGACCTTGTAGATCATCAGGCCCAGTCCCCCTGCACTAGGCAGGAAGAGACAACTGGGGTCAGGTGACCCCAGCGAGGTGACTGTCCAGTCTCCTTTTGAAGATTTCCAAGGTAGGTGGCTGCACCACCACTGGAGGGAGTTTATTCCACAGTCTGAACACCTTGATTGTGAAGGAGATTTTCCTGGAATTGAGCCTGAAACGGCCTTCCAGGAGTTTGTATCCATTGCTCCTGGTCTTCCCCAGGGGTGCCCTGGGGAGCAGCTGTTCACCGAGTTCTTGATGCACTCCCCTGATGTAGCAGTAAGCCACTACCAAGTCCCCTCTCTGCCTTCTCTTCTGTAGGCTGAAGAGGCCCAAGTCCCTCGGCCTCTCCTCGTATGGCTTGTCTTGCAGGTCTCCGATCATACAGGTGGCTTTTCTCTGGACTCTCTCAAGTTTTTCCAAGTCCTTGTTGAAGTGTGGGGCCCAGAACTGGGCTCGGTACTCCAGCTGTGGTCTCACCAGTGCGGAGTACAGTGGGAGTATCACTTCCTTAGTTTTGCATGAGATGCAGTGGTTAATGCATGCCAACGTGATGTTTGCCCTGCTGGCCACAGCATCGCACTGCTGGCTTATATTCATGTGATGGTCGATCACTACCCCTAGGTCCCTTTCGGCCATGCCACTATACATCACTTCATATAGAAATATGTAGTAACATGTTAATTTGATTTGAATATGTACTTATTGTATAATGTCAAGTTTAAATTATGGGAATCAGAATTTTCAAAGACATTCTGGGTAGTGATAGGCACTGTAAGTTTTTGTATAGCATTGCACCTGTTATTTTTCAACCACAACTTGTTTTTGCAAATTCTATACCAAAATGTCAAATGACTCGACTTCAAGTTCAGTTATGATTCAGAAGGAAAAAAATGTTCTCCGACGAACCACATTGTCTGAGATCTGTATGAAATTACCTTGACTGACTTAAACACTTCAGAAATATATTATTATACTGTCCTTTCAAATAGTTTTTTGGTGTGAAACTTGAATAGAAATAAGAGGTTTCCCTTGGTTGTTTTTTTTTTTTTTTTTTTTACTCCCTCCTCCAGGCATCCTGATTCCTTTCATTCACTTTGTACAAGCCTGGGATTCGTTGAGCACCCTTCACATGGTTTGAAGGGAGAAATGGGCCCTAGAGATGGTTGAGCTCCTAGTTTTGCCTTGGGAGAGGGAGATCCAGCCACAGAGGTGGCTCTGTATCCACACAGTTAGTGATAATTGGGTTTCTGAAATGTGTTGTACCTTTGGCAGCATGTGAAGTTCAAATTATACCACTGTGTTTGCATTTCAATATGCAGTTACTTGAATATGACATCTGTGTTAGCAGACATGAGCTCTTCAAAAATAAATTATCCGTTCATCTTCTGTTGTACAAAGACTCTCGAGTCTATTCAGTCTTTGTTTGTTTGTCTGTTATAATCAGGTCAGATTGTAAGAGTCAAATATGCATGCACAGTATGCCTGATAAGACTGGTAATAGTTACTTTTGAAAAGAAAAAGCTAAAAAAAATGTATTTGAAAACACACACCTTTCCATATTAAAAGAATGTCTTGATTACACTATCAAGCACGAAGAAGTTAGGAAAGATCAGAAATGAACAAGGCCATTATGTGGCGATTCTGTTAGGGGAGTGTAACCTTCTTTTATTCGGGCCCCTTTGCTAGGAAATAAGATGGACAAATATACTTTTAAAAGGAGTGATCTGGACTTTTGCAGTTAGCCAACATAAGACACTCAACATTTTGCAATATAACAATCACAGAAAAGGTTTCTCTACTCCTTTGAAACAAATCATTATGTGGTATAGCAGTTGCCAATAATCCATAAGGTTAGGTTACAAGGCCCAGGAAAGTCCTTTATGTAAATGTGTGTGGTCATAGTAGCATAACTTGAACAACATATTAAATAGTTAGTGAGGAAATTACTCTCTAGCTTCTACTGTTTATATAGGCTTTATGTTTCTGGAATGTTTTTGCTGAGCCACTGAGACTGATAGCCTGCAGTCCTGTTTATTTGATAGCATTTTTCTGTTTGCTGTCTCTGACATTGTCCATGGCTGCTAAATATGGTACAGATAATAAAGTAATTGTTCCATGAAAAGTGCTGTTATTTACTTGTTGCCTCTTCTGGAATGCTGCAATTTTGGTTTAGTCAACAACAATGTAACTGAAAATGGTTTGCAGCAGCTCTACTCCTAGTGTCTGCATTTAAAATGGTTTTAATGTTAAAGTAGACTTTATAAAAATGTTTTTAATATTGCTGTAAAAAATGTTGGTTGGCAGTGATTAGACTTTTCAGAGCAAGGTTTTTGGGTTGTATCCTTCTCCTGCTGCTTGTAAACTTTTAATTTAAGAAGGAATGTCTAGAAAAAGATATTTTATGTTTTAAGGCCCGCTGCACCAAGGTCCCCTCCCTTCTGGGGCTTTGCAACAGGTACGAACCTCTTGCAGCCCCAGTAGAGCCTGCAGAGCTGCCAGCTCCTGCAGACAAGGGAGGATCACCCATCCATACTTTCCCTAAGACTAAATGCAGAGTGGTTGTCATGGGATTCTCCCTCCTGAGGGGGCAGTCTGCCACCCCAACCCCCTAGCCCAGGAGGTCTGCTACTTCCTGGGAGCCTGCATCTGGGACATAGCAGGGAGGATCCCAAAGATTATCTGGCCCTCTGACCACTACCCTATGCTCCTTATCCATGTGGGCACAAATGACACAGCTCAGAGCAAACCCAGCCATGTCATGAGAGACTACAGGGCTCTGGGAGCGGGGTTTAGGGGGCTGGGGGCGCAGGTGGTCTTTTCCTTGCTCCTCCCGGTTGTGGGTCATGGGCTGAGGAGGGAGAGACGAGTTGAAGTAGTCAACCAAAGACTGCAGCGCTGGTGTCATTGTGAAGGCTTCCGTGATTACAGTCCACTCTTTGGTGAGAGAGGCAGTATGCTGCTGGGAAGAGATGGCCTCCACCTCACTCCGCTGGGGAGGAGGCTCTTCCCAGCCAGACTTGCTGACCTGGTCCACCAGACTTTAAAGTGAGCCCGCTGGGAGATGGGGGACTACTGCCACTGCAAGCCCACTGGGCAGCTTTTGTAAACCCAGCAGGCTAAGGCACTCAGGAGAACTCACCCCTACCCCAGCCCCAAAGCGATCCGTAGGGAAGGCAGGGGCCCCCAATGGGACACTTACGTGCCTGTACACCAATGCCAGGAGCTTGGGGAACAAACAGGAGGAACTGGTCCTCCTGCTAAACAAAAAGGATTACAATCTCATAGGGATAATGGAGACCTGGTGGGACTCTGTCTATGACTGGGCCACAGGTATAGACGGCTATACATTGTACAGGAGAGATCGCGTGGGGGGAAAAAAAGGTGTGTGTGGGGGGGTAGCTCTCTATGTCAAGGAAAGCTGTGTGTCCTTGCAAGCTGACATTGGCACCCAGCGGGGTATGTTATGAGACTCTCTGGGTCAAAATCCATGGTGAATAGGGCACAGGGGACACAATGGTGGGAGTCTACTGCACCTCCTAGCTAGGATCAAGAGCTTGACCAGGAATTCGCCAGGGAACTAGCTTAGGCTGCGCGTTCCCGGTTCATGGTTGTCATGGGAGATTTCAACTACCCAGACATCTCATGGGAAGAGCACTTGGCCACATCCGAACAGTCACAAAGGTTCCTCATGTGTAGATGAGCTCTATCTGACTCAAGAAGTCTATGGGCCAATGAGAGGCAAAGTGCTGCTCGACCTGATACTGACAACGGGGGAATGACTTAATCAGTGACCTCACAATTGAGGGGAAGCTGGGAGACAGTGACCATGAGCTGATCACTTTCACCATCTGCCATAAAGCTGGCAAGTCAGTCAACAAAACAGAAGTCCTCGACTTTAAAAAAGCTGACTTTGACAAGCTCAGGAGGCTTGTTGGCAAGGCCCTAAGGGACCTCGACCCAAAGGGGAGGGGTGTTCAGGAAGAGTGGTTGCTCCTTAAGGGAGCGATCCTGGAAGCTCAAGCAGTGTCCCCATTGGCTTTGCAGGGAATTTATAGACTTGCGTCTAAAAAGAAAGACCTATAAAGGATGGAAGACTGGATCCACCCCAAAGGAGGAGTATTGTGCACTGATCTGGACCTGTAGGGAGCAAACCAGGAAAGCCAAGACTGCGACTGAACTCCAACTGGCTACACGTATCAAGGACAATAAAAAGTCCTTTTTTAGATTCGTGGGGAGCCGGAGAAAAAGCAATGGTAACATTGGACTCCTGTTAAACCATATGGGTCAACTGACAACCAAATGCTCAGGAAAAAGCCAACCTGCTTAATGGGTATTTTGCGTCTGTTTTTCACCAACCCCAAGGGACAGCTCTGCTCAATATGGTATGGGATGGCCAGGGCGAAGGAGAATTGTTACCCTTCATCAGTGTTGACCATGTGAAGGAACACCTTGAGAGGCTGGACACCTTCAAGTCAGCTGGCCCAGACAGCTTACACCCCAGGGTACTTAAGGAGCTGGCAAGCATCATAGCCCAGCCCCTGCCACGGATCTATGAGAACTCATGGTGCTCAGGCAAAGTGCTCGAAGATTGGAAGAAGGCCAATGTGGTGCCTATCTTCAAGAAAGGGAGGAAAGTAGATCTGGGGAACTACAGGCCCATCAGCCTGACCTCTGTCCGGGGGAAGATCTTAGGAAAAAATCATCAAAGAGTCTATTCTTGACAAACTGGCTGAAGGCAACTTCCTGAGGGATAGCCAGCACAGGTTTGTTGCGGGTAGGTCTTGCCTGATGAATCGCATCTCCTTCTTTGACCAGGTAATGTATCACCTGGACAGGGGAGAAGAGATTGATGTCATATATCTTGATTTTAAAAAAGCCTTCGATCTTGTGTCCCACAATCATCTCATAGAAAAACTGGCCAACTGTGGCCTCGGCTACATCACAGTCCACTGGCTGGGGAATTGGTTCTGAGGTCGGACCCAGAGAGTGGTAGTTGATGGAAGTCAATCATCATGGTGTGCCGTGACCAGTAGGGTCCCCCAAGGCTCTGTCCTTGGGCCTGTTCTTTTCAACATCTTCATTAATGATGTGCAATGCTGGGCTTTTTCCTGCAGAGTCCCAGACCAACTAGAGCAGGCATTGAGCGCGCTGGATTTGGCATGGAGGAGGGTTCGTGAGCCTGATCCACGGTCAGGTCTGCACCATTCAAACAGCCCATGTTCTGGTCCTGCACCACTCATCTGGCTTGTAGGGCCAGACAAGTGTGATACTGTTACAGTAGATTATATGAATTTCCATTCTTTTAAATACACGTAAGAATGATCTTTTGTGTGTCATCTAACTTGAATATTTGTTTCATTATTTTTTTCTCAATAAGATGGCCTTCGTCGGATATTGTGTCAAGTTGGTTTACAAGAGGGACCAGATGGTGAAAACTCTTCTCTTGTGGATAAACTGATGCTGTCTGATTCTAAGCTGTGGAAAGGTAATTCGGCCATAATTTTTATCAAGAATGTTTGTTTGTGCTCGAGTATCACAGTGGCAGTTTTTATTTTGTCATACCTGCTTTAGGCAGTTTTACTGCCATCCATTGTAGATGCAGTTGCGTGATTGCTGGTTCCTGTTTGTTAGTTCTTTCCAAATATGCTGAATGATAAAATTATGCGGTGACCAATTTAGCCCATTAGTAAGATGGAGGTTGGCTTTTTGTTGAAATCTAATTTTTTTTTCCAAAATACTGCCAAATTCACATTAAACAGATGAACCTGAAACTTGCTCTTCCAACTGGGGACACAAAATGAACCTTGGTATAAATGTATTGTGTATCCAGGCCCAGAGAAGTGCAAATTTGAGACTTCCAAAAGTAGATGCTCCCCTCTTCCAAAATGTTTTTTTTTTTAATGTGTTTGTTTATGAACAGAGATACATTGAGTCTCAGTTATTGTTGTTCAGGCTGTATTCAAGTCCTTATATTGTCCTCTTTTTATATTGTCTTCTTTTGAGCTGAGAATACCCAGTGGAGGTAATTGGAGCAGCTCATACCTCTGCGAACTGCCTCTGCTGTTATTTCAGTGTGTTTGGATATCCGCAGACGTAATGTGATAACCTGTATATTGATGTGTCAGTTCAGGAAGTGGTGTGCAGAGTTTGTGCTGCAAATTTTGGGTCCTTTGGTGTAGGATTTGTTGAACATATTCATCTATCTCCAAATCGGTATATTTTAAAAATTACATTGAAAACAAACGTTATAAAACCAGGGAAAACATGGTTTGCCTCCTGACTATGCTAGAAATATATTTTTAAAGCCTTACTGTTTCTGAACAGATGCTGTTTTCTCTGCTGCCCAAAGTTCTAGATATTCATTCTCTAGTGATACATATTCCTATGGCAGTGGCTTTGATCTGGGGAATAATGGAGATTGGAAGACACCCCCCTGGTCATTAAGACCAAGTGAATGATAAAGTACCCAAATCTCCCAGTGGGACTCATTAGAGCATGGGTCACAGTTTTAAACACTTCAATATTTCTCCAACATTGCTATCTTTCTTCCTCTCTGCTGACCTCCAGATATCTTGAGGAGGCATGTGGCAATGTGATCTCTCTCCCATAGGACGATAATCAAACAGGGAAAGTTTAAGGTTGAAAGAAAGTGTAGTGTGAATAGATTGACTTCTTCCTCATGTCCCACCTCTCTTTCCACCAGCTTTTTTCTAATACTTGTTTTATGTGGTTGAGTGTTTTAATGTTTCTCAGAATTTTCTGTTTTTGGCTGCAAATTTTAGTATTTAGGAAGAGTGGTATCTTAGCTCCCCTTTAACAAAGTTTTTTTTGGTATAGAATCTCCCACGTAAATAAGTAGAGGAACACTTCGCATTTCTGTTGTAATTTGAATTGCTTTTTCCCTTTTGTATTCTGCACACAATCATTCCTCATTAAACAGAATAAATGTTAATGGTGTTTGTTTTAAGTGACCTACAAAGATTTTACTTAGAAAAGTCTGTCTCCAATTAGTGATGGAATCTGTGGAGGGTTAGTGAAAATTATACAAAATATGTATTTTACAACAAAATAGGTCTGAATTAGTTTCTTCGTTTACCTGGGAAGTTCTGTATTTAGGGTTTTCCATTTCCAATTCAACAGTTAACTGAATCAGTAA